AAATGATTCAATCAGACTAAAACTTTTTTTTCTGGAAATAAAGTTAAAATATTTTTATGATCTGTTAAGCATTATTACTCTAAAAAAACTATCATTATCAAATTTTTACTTTCACTGAAGGAATGAGGAGTGGTTAAAACTTTCCTGTCTCCCTGTTCTCGTGTTTATGTAACATATCCTGTTTGGAGTCCTCATACATGTTGGATTAATGCAAATCAAAACATTTTATTGCCACATATTTACACAACAGTTCTACAGCTAGGAGGACTTTGTTTTAGTGTTTAGTGAAAAGACAATAAGATAACTTTTAAAGTCTTCTGGTTGTCTCTGGTTGTTGTATTTTAATGACATGTGCACGGACACTTCATGAATGCAGTTCCTTCCAAAGTGTTAAAAAGATGAACATTAGTGAAGAAATSTATAGTTATTAGAGGTTAGTACTGATATTAAAAACACAACACTATATTTGTTAGATTTTCATGTATGTAATGTTGACAGTGTTTTATCTATTACGTTTTGATTAAGATAGATTAGTGACATGTCCGAATAATATAACAACACATAATCAAACGTTATGAGAACAGTAGGTGAGGTTTTTGTCTGAATGCCTGTGATTCTGCCGTAGGTCAGTAGGGGGCGAACGTAGGCACTGAAGACTTTGTATAAATGGATCAACTTCCTGGTTTGTCGGRAGTGTGTGGRTTCCTGTCAGCTCAGGTGACAATAAACCCTCACTCCAGATTTCTGGTGTTGTATGGTTTTATTCCTTCTAAAAATCTTATTATTTAACAGTGGTGGTTTTATATTGACTTCAGTCTTTGAACATGTATTTTTCTTACATTAGTTTGGAGAGAGGTTGTGGTCTCTTTGCTCCTAGACGATACAAACAGTGAGTAACACAAACAGCACTCTGCTACCCACCATTCTTACAGTTCTGACATTATTTGCTCTGAATAAACATAAACTTGTTTCTGTGCCTCCTTATCTGTTTAATATCCGTGTCCCTGACCCATTTCCATGGAACACAAACCACCATGGTGTGCACAGCAACAATTCTCAATCTTAGGCCTGAGTCACACTACAAGATTTTAAAACAGTCGGCTGATTTTCAAAGACTGATAGAGCCCACATGAGGATAAAAAAAATCATGGATCTACCAGGTTTGGTCCTACAGTGTGTGGTGTACAGTCACACGGCAAGAGACAACACAGCACACAAGAAAATACTGTATATTTCATTCATGAACTGTCAGATGTCAGATTTTAAATCACGTGAGACTTCCTGAAATCTCGCGAGATTTCAGATGTCAGAGGAAAAATCTCACGTGACCTCCAGAGAGACGTGAGTTCAGAGTAAATAAACATTTGTGACGACGAAGAAACAATGTTGATCYTTTGTGGACTATTTTTACCAGAGGAAACACAATTCCAGGACTTTTAACATCCAGCAGACGTTCTGCTGAGTCATGACCGTTTTTTGTCTTCTGTATTTTGGAATCCCCTCCATGTTTACGTCACCTCGCTTTCTGATTGGCTACACATCTCATTCAACAGGCTGAGAGCTCGGGTGAACACTACACACACTGTGATATCAGACCAAAAAAAACAAACATGTTGAATCTCCCCGATTTGAGGTCGGAGCGGTCCCGATGCCCTTCCGAGCTGACTAGATCACTATTTACTCACCACCCACGGTGGGAATATCTGCTCAGATTATCTTTAGAGCAGAGAAGCCCAAAGCGGGGCCCGTGGGCCAAATTTGGCCCACCAAGCCATCTTATTTGGTCCACCAACAGTTGATAGACACTAGGCTGTGACCTGTCATAGAAACAGTATTTTCACTTAGTAATTTCATCTATTGGACCAATGATTATTTAAGGGGCTGTAGTGCTGATAGGTTTCACTCATGATGCTGTTTTTATCTTTGATACATTAATACTAAACATGAAATACATGTAACAAGATATATTTTGATCAGATTTAACGACATGTAGATTTGCACACTACGTAAGGCCACAAAAACTCATATTTTATCAATTTATGAAATTTCCCATGAGCCTTTGCTACTTGAG